TTTTTTTTTTTTTTTTTTTTTTTTACTTAATTGCTTTTCTGTCCACTATTTTTTTAATTTATTTATTTCCTCATTACGATATTCGAGTTGTCTTTAATAATATAATGACACTTCTTTTTATAAAAAGAGTAATAATTAAATAGTTAGGTTGTTAATATTCTCATTTAAAATAAAAAAATTAAATAGATAGTTTTATATATTAACCTATTTTATTGACAACAAAAATTTGAATAAATTACTCGACTTATTCGTAACAATTGAGTTGAGTCTAAAAATATAACCATTTACAGAAAGGCTCTGTAAAATTCGGTGGAGGGTAAAGAAGGTCTCATTATGGGATTTGAGTCATTAATGAGATACCACTATGGAAGAGCAAGAATTCTAAACTTGTGTCAGAACCTACAACTAAGGTGCAGCCTTAGCTATACAATTTTTATGGGGCGTATGTTTCCCAGAAGGTAACATAGGCATGCAAAGATTTTCTCGAGCTAGACAGAGATTTGACCCTCAAGTGCACAGGCATACGGGAGCTTGATTGCAAGACCCATTTGTCGAATTCAACCCAACATCATCCATAAACATGTCTACATTATATATACACACATATTATATATATATATATATATATATATATATATATATATATATATATAAAATTGTGAAAGACTTGAAGTATAAATATTTTCAACATTCCACATAGGATTTTCATAAAATGTATACTTAGTCTTTCAATTTTAAAATTTATATTTAATATATCCACAAAGGATTATACAACAAATTAATAAAAATATTTTATAATTTTATAATATATATAAAAAATATAATTAAACTTAAAAAAATTTAAATAAAATAATATACTTAAATAACTCATTTTATCTTTATAAAAAAGTTAAAAAAAAAATCTTACTATGTTTGAACAAAAACGTTTATCGATCCTGTATAAATTATCTACCTACATTTTAACGTTACTTTGAAAAATTTATGAGTATTTTTTAAGATAGACATTAATAATAAATATATATTTGATTTTTTTTAAAATAATTTTAAAAGTATCCTTGAAACTTTAACGTGAGTATTTTTTAACTGTTTTGTAAGTTTAACCGTATTTTTTAAACAAAATAATAACCGTTTCCATCCAAAATTAATATATACTTTTTAAATTTTTTAAAATTTGAGCCTCGTATTAAAACTTTTAAAAATTTAAACTTATTTTTTAAACCGTTTTAATAGTATTTATATATAATATATATATAAAATTAGAATAATATTAGATTTGTTTCATATTTAAATTATTTTAATTAATATAAATTATTGTTCATACAATCAAATCAGATCATATTTGTAAAATAAAATGGTCCAATGATTAGTAAAATTACAAATTTAATAATCTATTAAATATAATTTAAAAATGGAAAGAAAATTTTAAAGAAAAGGTTTTAATTAAGTTGATTTAAAATTAAAATTGACCTAGTTTTTTTAATTATTTATGGTTGAGGTTGCTAATTACAGTTATACCCCTTCCTTTTCTGTTTTCTTTTTGGTCAAACATTCGTCTTTGACTATAATAATGATTTTTCTGAAAAAAAAACAAAGTTTAAAATACGTATGACACGTGGCAGAGTGTTGTATCTCGCATTTATTTAGTCCATAATTATTATAAAAATAGAGAGATTTTAAAAGGCAGAAGAAGCTTCCCCAAATCCCACCGCCCATCGCATAAAAATTAATTAAATAACATAAATTCAAACATCAATTTATTTTTTTAATAAATAAAACATAATTTAATACTAAATCCAACATGTAATAACGGCTATTTTAATTTAGCACGAAGGTAAGGTTATCCATAACTTTCATTAAATTATTCAATGATATTTTATATTTTTAATATATTGAATTATTAATAATATAGTATATTAATGAAGTCACGAGCCATGTTATTCTAATAATCTTTTTAATATTTTTTGAAATTTAATTGAGGTGAGTCTAAATTATTTTTTTTATATTTTTAATTATAATGAATATTTAAATAATATTAAAAATTAAAAAAAAAACTAAAAAGAAATTTAGAAAAAGGGTAGTCTAAGAAGTGAAAAAACCACAAATAATAATTAAAAATAAAAATAAAGGGTAAATCGGTAAAAATTGAACTTAATTTATTATATTATTTTTTAATCCTAAGTGACTTGGAGTAAACTAAAAAATACATGTAAAATTAAGAAATTATAAATTAAATTTGGAGTTTAAGTTGATTTTGTGAATATATGTAAATAAATAAATAAATAAATAAATAGATTTAAATTTGAATGAGTGTAAAATTCACAGAAGAACAGGGTTAAATTGGTAAAGTAGCGAAAAAAGAAAAAAGAAAATATTTGGGATATTAAATGGATAAATACGTGTATTAAGCTGATTCATCGAATAATAAAAAATTCCGTACTATTCGCTGACATCCTACATACTCGAGCCCATTCGCTAATGGGGCCCACGACCACATCGTCCATCGAATATGGATTCTCCACGTGTCGATCTCTCCTCTTCTTTCGCGGTCCCACAACCGATTCATCAGACGGTTCAGATTCGCTCTCTGCTCCGCCGGCCCCATTTTGCTTGTTCTCGAGTGTTCGAATCACGAAGCAGAGAGAGAGAGAGAGAGAGAGAGAGAGAGAGAGAGAGGAGTTCTGATTCTAACCAGAGTTTGTGATTTAACCCTAGCCATACGCGTTAGGTTAAAGAGACGACTGTGAAGAAGAAGAAGTAGAAGTAGAAGTAGACGGCGAGTCGTTGACAGAGATATAGCACTGAGCTTCAACAACTGGAAAGAAGAACGGAGATCGGGGAACGGAGAAGGTTCTGATTCTGTCGTGAAGGGGGAGAAATTTTGCCCCATTTTGGAGGACCTTCTTATTCTTCTTGGAATCTTTTCGATTGCTTCTCTGCAGGTTTTCACTGTTGAATGACACGCATTCGTTGCTAATGCGTTACGTTGTTTGATTTCTCCCGCTTCTCCTAGATCTTAATTTCTGTGAGTTTCTCCTTCTGATTATCGCTTTGTCTTTGTTTTATCCGGAATGATGAATTAATGTCGTTTTGGATGGATTCCTTTCCTTTTCAGTTTTCCTTTGGAGTCAGAGGATTTTTGTTCGTCGTCATTTCTCTTGTAATTTTGAGATTGTGTGGGGTTTTTGGTGGAGTTTTTGATCGGATGATAATTGAATGAGGAATAATTGTTTTTGCTGCATTGCGTGTGGGGAGATATTGCATTATGGTTGATTTTAATTCTTTCTTCCACGAGAGATTTTTTGTTCATCTGAGAAATAGTCACTCTTTTCATCTTTGCTACGAAAATTTTAAAAAAGATCATCAGATATCAAACTGGATCTACACGAATTTATTGAAATAAGTGAGCCGCAATTTATGCGTTTTCTTTACTCTGCCTCCCTTGCATTTAATTTTGAAGTAAATTATCTTTTCATGATGATTTTCTATGGCGTCTTAACTACCAGGGGCTCTAGAATTGAGAAGTGTGCTGATCTGATCTTTAGTATTCATTCAGACTAAATCAATGAAACTTCGGATGAATTGTTCTTATCTTTTGCCTCTTGGCTATTGAAACAATCCATTTAGACAACTTATGTTTTGCTTTCTTGCCCAGAAACAGTCAGGAAATTCCTACTTTTAGTCGGTTCATATAAGGGGCTTGCGCCGTACCATAATTTATGCATGGTTGTTGGGGTCTAGTTGCCATGAATGAACTTTTTATTTATTTTGGTGATGAATCTAATCTTGGCTTTATTGGACAGATTGAGCTCTGCATATCCTGTTCAATGGGTATGTCAATGTAGTATAAAGTCTTCAGTCTCTGTCGTTGGTTTCTTTGGGCATCTCTTCACTGAGGATCTTTAGTGGGATTTCGTTACTGTGTCGACTGATTAATGATTTTTAGGGTACAATATTTTGTTGAAGCTCATTCAGCATCGGCTTTAGAGTTGAGCACTCTTCTGGGGGAGAAGGAACTCTCTTCCATTGCCACCTCTTTTGCCTGCTGCCTACACTGTCTGTGTGTGCATTTGTAATTAATGCATCGTAAATTGGGTAGCCCTGTCCAGACGCAGATGGCCACAGCAGCAGGCTTTAAGAGTCCACTCGGTCGAGAGTTTGGCGGGAGCAAGATGATGGAAGGGAAACTGTCTTCAGGGAGGAGAAGGGTCTTTGTGCAAACTGACACTGGTTGTGTCCTGGGGATGGAATTGGATCGGAGTGATAATGCTCATACTGTGAAGAGGAGGTTACAGCTTGCGCTCAATGTACCAACTGATGAGAGCTCTTTGACATTTGGGGATATGGTACTGAAGAACGACCTCAGTGCCGTAAGAAGCGATTCTCCCCTTCTTCTTACACGAAACATTTTGCACAGAAGCTCGTCGACTCCTTGTCTCTCACCTACTGGAAGGGATATTCAGCAAAGAGATCAGAGTGGTCCTATTGAGATATTAGGCCATTCTGATCGCTTTATTAGGACAAAGCAATTGGTTGGTGAGATTACAAAAGCAATTAAAGTTGGTGTAGATCCTATTCCTGTTCATAGTGGACTTGGTGGTGCATACTATTTCAGAAATAACAGAGGTGAGAGCGTTGCGATTGTGAAGCCTACGGATGAAGAACCTTTTGCACCAAACAATCCAAAAGGATTTGTTGGTAAAGCTCTTGGTCAACCTGGGTTAAAACGATCAGTGCGTGTTGGGGAGACTGGATTTCGTGAGGTTGCAGCTTATCTTCTTGACTACAATCACTTTGCTAATGTGCCTCCCACTGCCTTGGTGAAGATTACCCACTCGATCTTCAATGTCAATGATGGAGTAAATGGTAACATGCCGAGTAAGAAGAAGCTGGTTAGCAAGATTGCATCGTTACAAGAATTCATACCACATGATTTTGATGCCAGTGATCATGGAACTTCCAGCTTCCCAGTAGTGGCTGTGCATCGTATAGGCATACTAGACATTAGAGTTTTTAACACAGATAGACATGCTGGAAATCTTTTAGTTAGGAAACTTGATGGTGTTGGGAGGTTTGGTCAAGTGGAGCTCATTCCTATTGATCATGGACTCTGCTTGCCAGAAACATTAGAGGATCCATATTTTGAGTGGATTCATTGGCCGCAGGCATCAATTCCATTTTCAGAGGACGAGCTCAAGTATATCAAAGATCTCAACCCATTTAAAGATAGTGAGATGCTGAGGATGGAGCTCCCCATGATTCGCGAGGCTTGTCTCAGGGTTCTGGTTCTCTGCACGATCTTCCTGAAGGAAGCTGCTGCATTTGGTCTTTGTCTTGCCGAGATTGGCGAGATGATGACTAGGGAGTTTCGTAGTGCAGAGGAGGATCCCAGTGAACTGGAACTTATATGCATGGAGGCTAGGAAGCTGATCAAAGAGAAGGAGGTCTTATCCCCTCGGGCAGATTTAGGCGATGAGGAATTCCAGTTTGATATAGACTGCGACGAAGAGGAGTTAGATTTTAGCCAAGATATAGAAGCAGATGATTTTAACCCAACAGCACCATTCCACTTCCACGGTGGCGGTATACGTGGACGTTTTCCTCTTCGTAAACTGGAGGAAAGCATCGAGGAAGAAAATAGTGAAGAAGATGAGCAAGGAGGCTTCGCCGATCTGTTTTCTTCTGAAAGGATTCCAACTATTTCAAAGCTTTCCATGTCACTGAAGAATACCAGTCTGGGTGAGAAGAATAAGAAACACGCCAAGTACTCTGGAACAAGACCTGAGAATGGATATATGATGACCAATACATCCTCTGGCCACAGAAGTGCAAATGAACAGCTTCCAGCCAGTGTAACCTTTGTGAAGCTAGCTGATATGAACGAAGATGCATGGTCACTATACTTAGAGAAGTTTCAAAAGCTACTTCACCCGGCATTTGCGAAGCGAAAATCTGCAACTCTAGGCCAGAGGCAGAGGCAGAGGCTTGGTACTTCTTGCCAATTTTGAGATTGAGCTAAGAAGAGTCGATTGATTGATGATAGCTTTGATGATGCAAAGGTGTTTTCTGGGTTCTGTTCGAGACACGACTACATTTAGAAGGTCAGTAACTACTACTTAGCTTCTATTGTAAATATTGTAGCGTCAACTTAGTAGAGATTTGGTTTTAGCATCTTCTTGTTCTTTCTTTCAGAATTACTTGGTTCTTCTAGCTGCTACAACCATGTTATATAAATAACTTGTAGAATAAATCTTAAGAGGAAGTTATGTAAACAGGGAGATGTGCCAGTTTTTATTTATATATATCTGCCTAATGCTCCTCCTCCTTCACTGCTCAACAAATGTGATTTATGGTCAAGCTGTGGATTGATTGAAATATTTAAATCTTTCAATATGTTTCTCTGTCCATTGATGTCGGTTAAATCCAACAAATTCTCATAAAAGATTCCTTATCACATGGGGAAGCATTAAAAAAGAAGCAAAATGGTTGAGGAGACCAGCCAAAATGGTTGTTGGGAATGATTGAAATGCATCATCCACTGACTTTCTGAAAACATTCATGGCCATAGTTTTGCCATTTCTTCCTCTCTTTATTTGTACAGTGGATTAATAGTTGCATCTATAGTAACATTAAATGTTTGTTCATCTTTGACATTTTTTAAACTTACTGGAACTTGGATGTATTATAGTTCCGAATTGAATCGAATCTCTTTAGAAAGAAGATCTTTTGTTTGTCTCATAGTAGGCTACTATAGTACCCTTACAAAATTTTTACGAAATTTTCGTTATTGGGTTAACCATACACTTCACATGTTTCTAATGATTCACAGCATGATACAAGTAGGATAAGAATCTACAACGCACTAGAATGGCCTGGTTGACAATCCTTTAATTTGACAACATTTAGGGTTCTTCGAATAATGTGAGATCTCTCACCGTGTAAATCCTTAACCCTTTCCCCTCTTACTAAGATTATAAAATGTTCTTGCAAATTATGGCCAATACCAGGTATATAATCAGCGATTTCGAATCTCGAGGTTAAGCGTACTCTAGAAACTTTACGTAACATAACATTGAAGTTCAAGAACTAATTAGATACTGGTCAAAGTATAAACATCAAATAGGCACAAATCTCGAAGTTCAAACAATATATATGCTTAGAAATGGATTGTACGGAGTCTAGTTTCTGGAGATTGATTACGGAGGTGGCCAAGTCGAGGCAGTGACTTTGTTGCTGGAGAATTTTAGGAGAGTGTAGAGTAAGTGTAAAACAATTGCAGAACAATCAAACTTAGATCGGTTAAAGTTCGTAGAAAGACAACAATCTTGCTCAACATTAGAGATCTAAATTATCTCGGTCGTATGGAAATGATTATGTTTAGCGTATCGGAGACCGTACTATTGTCTCCTACTTAAAAGTTGATAGGTCTGAGCAGGTGCCATGGCGGGATCAGCTGGATGAGTACCAAATTGTTTGTCAAAACAAAGGTAAGAGATATTGGACGAAGAAGTGCACAGGTGAAGAAGATGAACTAAATTTATGTAAGGTTAGTGTTAATATATATACTGTGTTCTATCTAATGCACAAATCTCTCTTACTCGCAGGTGAAGAAGGTGAAGTAGCAGTAGAAGAAGGGCAAACACATACACACAAAATGCTAATAGAATCGTCTTCCGACCTATCGATTGCATACGATGACGTATCGAATCGTCGAAACGTATACAAAAATTTCAAGTCCGTCTCTGTACCCTTTATGTCAGGATGCAACCCCTTACTCAACTCGTAGAATCAAGTCGCCAAGTATCTCGGGCTCGACATTGATGGAAGAACTGTGAAGCTTTAAGAACTCACATTTGATTTATGGAAGCAAAAAGGAGATATTCAACCATCCTAATCATTATTTGAACAAGCAAGATGTCATGGTCATGTTTGTCCAAAGCATGTCAGTCTTGTTTGTCTGAGTCAGTTGACAGAGAGGATGTAATGATCATGCTTGTCCAAAGCATGTTGCTTATGGCTTGTCCAAATGTCGCAGTCTTACTTGTTCGAGTCGGTTGATAGGGATGTCAACTAATTAAGTGGGGGAGGATGTCAACTAATTGAGTGGGGGAGGATGTCATCGTCATGTTTGTCCATATTGCCTATGGTTGCCTACCCGTTCCAAACTCCTTTTTCATGCTTTCATCTTAGAAAGGCCTTTACCATTTCATATCGGGTCATATATATAATATATAAAAGAGCTAAATTATTAGGGTTCCAATTATACTTGAAAGTTTGATTTTGACTCTTAAATTTAGAGGTTGATTTCAAAATAATCCTAATAGATTTTCTCATTAATTTCATAAGCAAAAAAGTGGTGTCTGTGATCTAAATAAATAAAAATGTATGCATGCATGTATGGAAGGAATAAAGCAATGTGGGGGACGTAGTAGGGTGCTCAATCTCAACATGTTGAGTCGAGAAAGTGTTCGATTTTCAATACCGAGTTAGATCAAATTGAGATTGAGTTGAAGTAACCATTATTATATCATGAATAAATCCTATCAATTTGAGTGGTTCGAGATATTTATTCAATTTTTTTAAATAAAAGTAAAATATTTATTTATTTATTTATTTCAAATGTTAAATTAAAAATAACCCATTTCAATATATAATTTTTTTAAAAAAATTACCTTAAATTTAAAATTTTATTTTTTGAAGTAGTTAGGAAATAAATAATACAAAATTGTATTGTAAGAAAAAAAATGATTTTTTTATTATTATGAACAGATTCAAATAATTAGAATAATTAAGACTGTGAAATTGTAAATGTTGTCCAAGTTTTTTGCAAACCCAAGAACATTAATTATGAAATTAAGGCAACTAATCAAGATTGAAGAAGAATAACCAGGAAACGAAGATTATCCTTGCGGAAGCACAGGACCCATTTTTCAGATCTCTCAATACACCCATTTCTTCTATCGTTTTCTTCTTCCCCGACTGGCTGATGTTCCAGGTTTGACCTCTCTTGATGTGGAAATGTTTCGTTGTCCTAATTTTTAATTGATTTGCTTTGAATTTCGATCAATGCCACTGCCTCCACCTTTAATTTTCGCCCGATTCTTGTGTTTTTTATCTCTGAATTTGCTCTCTAGTTGTTTTCTAAGCTCTTTGATCTTTGACTTTTACTGGATTTTGTTGATTGACGAAGGATTTTGCCGTTTCGGGATGTACGCATTTCATACTTTATAGGATTCTTGTCTTTGATGATGATTTTTCTCGCTTATGTTTTCAATCGCACACAACTGGTTTGGTGTGCTCATTTGTGATCATCGATTAGTCTGGAGAATGAAGAGATTCATTTAACATTGAGATCTCTTTTGTTAGTTTTGATATTGTTTCTGCATTCTGACTTCGATGATGAACATTGTACATGAAATGTGATGTTTGATTCTAAAATCATAGATTCAAAATAGTTTAGATCTTTAACAATTACGGAGATGACCTGAATTATCAAACCGTGTTTGTTATGTTACTGAAAAAACTCACTGTTCTTTTAGTTTTGATATCAATACATTTCATACCATATCGTCGGTTCGCTTCTCCGCCCTGTTCGGACATTGCCTTGTTTAATATAACAAGCTTGGTTGGAAGTGAGGGTTATATTTCGTGTTCGATATCAAGATTGTATATCATGATGCAAACTTTGAATATGATTGTGTGGCTTTGTGAAGGAGAGTTTTATATTGAATCCTTTAGCATATGTGACAGAATAAGCATCATTCTCTAGCCAAGATTGCACCAAAGCTTCCTTATTCCATGTGGTATTGAACTAGAATCTTATTGATTTCTTAACTACTAAACGATGTGAAACGCCGCCTTTATTCTTTTTGTTGGCAGTGAAATGAACTTCTGTGGCAATCAAATTCTTTCTCTCAATCTATACACTGTAAAAGTGGTCAGATATACTGCTTCTGGCGCTTGTATCTGAAAGAGAGATAAAAGTTTCATGGATTATTTGTGTTTCCCATGCTACTTTAATTCAGGAAGCTCGTCCGATAATGAGTTTTGAACGTCCGTGATTTGGATCCCACAAACAGCTACTATGGTTGGGAGGAGGAACTCTGGAAAGGCTTCCCCACTATTTCTAGTTCTCTTGGCGATTTCTTTCTGCTTTGTAACTTATAATTTGGTGACAGCTATTATTCAGTATGGATCAATTGGAAGGGAAGTTGGTGATAACTCGTATGATCGATTATCGAATGACCCTATCATTGAAATGCCAGAGAATGTGAGAAAAAGGAAGACAAAGGCACCTTTCCATGTTGCTTTGACAGCAACCGACGCTCCTTATAGCAAATGGCAATGTCGTATTATGTATTACTGGTACAAGCAGAAGAAGAATTTGCCTGAATCTGAGATGGGAGGGTTCACTCGTATTTTACATTCTGGACAACCTGATAACCTAATGGATGAGATTCCTACTATGGTGGTGGATCCACTTCCTGCTGGTGTGGACCGGGTGAGGTTTCTTTTACCTTATCACACTTCCTTCTTCGCATTCATTAACACGCTGATAGCTACTTCGAACATTCTCGTTGCCCCTCTCTTATGAAATAGAAGTCTTGTATTCGGAGGTGTGATATCCTACATTGGTTGGAGAGGGGAACAAAGCATATAAGGGTGTGGAAACCTCTCCCTAGCGCATTTTAAAACCTTGAGGGGAAGCCCATAAGGAAAAACCCAAAGAGGACAATATCTTTTAGCAGTGGGCTTGGGTTGTTACAAATGATATCAAAGTCAGACACCGGGCGGTGTGCCAATGAGGACGTTGGCCCCCAAGGGGGTGGATTGTGATAACCTACATCGGTTGGAGAGGGTAACGTAGAAACCTCTCCCTAGCAGACGCGTTTTATAATCTTGAGGGGAAGCCCAGAAGGCAATGCCTAAAGAGGATAATATCTTCTAGCAGTGGGCTTGGGCTTGGGCTGTTACAAGAGGACTAGGATTTTTTTTTTTTTTTTCCATTTGTTCATTAAATTATATTTTCTGTTCTCAGGGCTACGTCGTCTTGAACAGACCGTGGGCCTTCGTGCAGTGGCTGGAAAAGGCAACAATAGAGGAAGAGTGAGAATTTTATGTAAAACCATTGAAGAATGGAACTCTTCATAAATATTACTAGTTGGATTCTTGAGTATCAAATTCTCTTTGATTTCTTTTGGTTGCAGCTATATATTAATGGCAGAACCAGATCATATATTTGTTAATCCGCTTCCTAATCTATCTGATGGAGGTCATCCAGCTGCCTTTCCATTTTTCTACATCAAACCTACTCAAAATGAAAAAGTTTTGAGAAAGTTTTTCCCCGAGGAATATGGTCCCGTAACCAAAGTCGATCCAATCGGCAACTCTCCTGTGATTATCAGGAAGGTGATTTCTCTCAAAATGATGTCACAAAACTAAAACATGGATTAAGATTAATACACTTCTTTGTGGGCATAATTACTTTTCCCTGCACTACATTAAGAAATCTTAGTATATTAAGGTTACAATCACATCGTGACCTTATTTGCTGAATATTTTCCCTGTTGTCATTGTGTATTCATCAATAAAAGGTTGTTTTCGTTTCACTGACTCGACCTTTATTGTTCGACGTTCCAAATGGGTTCTGTTTATCAGGATTTGCTGGAAAAGATTGCTCCTACCTGGATGAATATTTCATTGAAGATGAAAGACGATCCCGAGGCGGATAAAGCTTTTGGATGGGTGCTAGAAATGTAAGTTTTGGTAAACAAGAAACCTTGTCTTCTATATTAGGCCACTTAGCGAAATATCTTCTGAAGTTCCCTTTCTCCTAAGGTATGCATATGCGATTGCTTCGGCTTTGCACGGCGTGCAGCATGTTCTTCGGAAAGATTTTATGCTGCAGGTATGGTATCCATCAATTCTATACTGATACATAGCTTCTTCTACGTATCGAAACCAATCTCGAGATGTTCTTTCTTTTTGTTTTCTGACTGGTCAGCCACCATGGGACATGGACATTGGTAAAAAGTTCATTATACATTATACTTATGGATGTGACTACAACTTAAAGGTGATGTTTCTTTCCCTTAGTTCCTTTTCATTTTTATCAATCATTTCTTATAATTTCTATACTTTTTCTGTCATCTAAATTTTCAGGGGGAGTTGACTTATGGTAAAATGGGTGAATGGCGGTTCGACAAGAGGTCGCATTTACGCGGACCTCTTCCGAGAAACCTACCTTTACCCCCTCCAGGAGTTCCTGAAAGTGTGGTACGTTTCTGGAAAACCATTCCCTTGTCTTCCTATATATCCATTTGGAATCTCACATGTCTGCACCTTCATCTGCCTAAGCATTGTTTTTGAAGAGACTGTGAGACCTTCATCTGCCTAAGCATTGTTTTTGAAGAGACTGTGAGTTTGTGTGATGTCCGACGTTGGTTGGGGAGGAGAACAAAACACCCTTTATAAGAGTGTGGAAACCTTTCCCTAGTAGACGTGTTTTAAAGCCTTGAGGGGAAGCCCGAAAGGAAAAGCCCAAAGAGGACAATATCTGCTAGCGATGGGTCTGGGTCGTTACAGTTTCTTTCCTTCAAACTTCTTTTTCATTATTAGCTCGCAGATTTTGTTGTTGACCTTTGACCACGTGCTTTGAGTCACTGATTGACAGTGTACAGTTCAAACGAATTAGGCACGTTTTGTCATTTTTATTGTCGTGTTTCGAACCGATGTATGAGTAAATATATCGACTCATAATAGCTTGGGGAAAGAAACTAGTGTAGAAGCCATGTTTGGTCATATCCTTGCAGACTAGGAAACTGCAGAGAACCGAGAAGCCAAACCGAACCGTGCACGCTCCTTGTAGACTCTTGCTATATCTGGTTTTTAAAATTAAGAAAAACCCAAGAAACACACACTTCCGTTTGTGTACACGTGTCGAACACTTGTTAAGCATGTATATGGAATCTATACAAACAGTATGTATTCGAAAATGTACATTTGAATAAACGT